TTAATTTAAACTTTGAAACTTCACATGGCACATGGACTAAATCAAAAGAAAAGAAAAATAAAACATTTTCTGATATATTAGGTAATTCTCAATTCAGTCAATATTTTGAAACAACTCAATTTTACCCTTGATATTAAAAGATGGTAGAAAATGTACTTTCAAGGTCATGTTGTTTTTGGAAAGGAAGAGGGGCAAAACGGAAAATAAGTGAGTTTGTTTGTTCCATAGGTTCTAATATGAGTATTTTTTTTAATATAACAAATTGGATATGAGATTCSAAACTCCRGTCTTAAAGGAAATAGTAGATRCCAATTAAACCATGTTTATATTGACAATTTTGAGATGAGTCACATAATTATTATCCCATGATAAAAATATCATGAGATATTGTTTATGAAAAAATAAATTGGAGCAGGGAGAGAAAATACTCATTAATTAAAATCTGAATTAATGAAACTACATTAAGTTACTCTTTATTAATTAATTAATCCATAATATATATTTTTTAATATTTTTTCTTTTAGCAAACGTCATAAAACAAACACAGATGTTTATTCTCAAATATTAGTATATTACCAACCTATAATAGCTAAGTTAAGACATATGTTTCTAAAAAAAATTAGGCTTGAATCCCCACCACAAATACGATTTAACTAAGAAAGAAAAAAGAAAAACTCCCCAATATTAATTATCCTACATTTCTATAATTTAAATATTAATCTGGTTAAAAAAAATATTTTAGTCATAATAAAGTGTTCATTTCCATCGACTAGTTAAGTATAGCTACTCTAGTGCAGCGTGTTAATAGAATGTGGCTTGAGGAAGATCTCACAGCCATCATTTGAGTTCTTACTTCTGATCGTCTTTTTTTGTTGGTTCTCTATTGCTATAAAATTAAAAAGAAATGTTGATTTCCATCCTTATATTTTTACAAATAACAAATTTAAATCAAATTTTTACGTTTTGAAAATACAATAATTGAGCCAGCATATACCATTAAAAAAAAAAAGAAATGAGACATAATGAGGAACTGACAAGTGCAGCCTAGGTAGGCGAGTGGCGACCGGGCGGCATAAAGAAGCGGGGCAGCGCGGGCAGGACCACCAATCCAGCCGCCTAATGAATTCTAAGTTGGCGCTGCCCATGAGGTGGTTGGGGAATTGCGAGTAAATATCCACTTCACTATTCAATTACAATTATCACCTCTAAATTTTTAGAGTTCCCTCCTTTTTTTAAAAAAAATATATTCAATAAAATTTCTAAGCTTTCTTTATGTTTTGTAATATTTGTAAATATTACTAAAGATTTATTAGACAAAAAATGTAAAAGTTCGAAGATCTATCAGACATGTTTAGAAATTCATGAGGTACTCTCCAAAATTGAATGACATATTATACGTGACTTAAAATATTCAAATATCAAATTTGCAATCAAAATGTAAAATATCTATAAACATCCCAACTAATTCCCTACTAAAAGAAATACATCGACAACTATTTTTTAAAGATAGTGAGTAAAATATTAATTTTTTAACATAAAGTGTTTTTTATAAAAAATTTTATTGACCTTTTGGTTGAAATAGATGTCTTAACCAATTGAGCTACGGTCAAATTGACAATTATTTTTATGAAGTTGGACCATTAAATTTAATATTTAGAGTCTTAATTATACGTGTGGACGTTTCTTCATCGTACTGTCATTAAATTTTGAACCGCAACAACATTTTTCGAATGTTAAATAAAAGTACCATTTCAACCTAGCTATGTAGTTATTATTATTATTATTATTATTATTATTATTATTATTATTATTATTATTTTAAAGAACTAGCTATGTAGTTGAATATTTAATGTTAGGATAAGGTACTTCAATAATGTTTATAATTTCCTTTGAAAAAAAATTGTTTTTAATATTTTTTTTCCCAAAGTTGGGAGCTTGGATTCATATGGAAAAATGGTACGAATCTATTTTTCCAAATTCCGATGGAATTCAACGACGGCACGTAGTCGAATTTCCAAAAATGAATAATGACATATTAATCTTTTTCTGTTTGTGATTTTTATTTACCCACGTATGTTGTCGCCTAATTTGAGTCTTGTGTCTATTTAATTTTTAATTTTTTTAAACAACATCAATTATTTAATTGGATAAAATTCCAATGAAACTACCTACTTTGACAGCGACAAATTACATATTTTTATCAAATAAACAAATCAATAATCATACATTTAACTTTAATTTTCACTCCATTAAATTAATTTTTCGAAATATAATTTATTTTTTTACTACCACAAATGTATAAATGAAAGATTAAGTCTTCGACATCTAAAAAAATGTAAAATGTCTTAACAGTTGAACTATACATATATTAGACTTTTTGTTTGAATTATGTGGCCTAAATTGATATCCAATTAGACACAAATTGCAATTTTGTATTTTTTTAAATTTTTATATAAGAACACAAATCAACAAATTATACTTTATTCAATCAACTAACATATCACACCTTATAAAAGAAATTATGCTATAGAATATCATCGTTCTACCGATCAACGTGAAATAAATACAATTTTTTTTTCGGAAAGAGAAATAAATACAATTTAAAATATAAAGATGTAAGTCACTAAAAGAAAATAGATTTGGTCAATTCAAAATTCGAACCTAGTTTAATAGATACATATTTATTGTCATTTAATTATTCAAATAAATAAAATAATAAAAAAATAAAGATAGATAGAAATTTTTGGATCTTAAGGAAATATGGATTGGTTCATCATGCCATCAACTAACTTCCTATTATGGTGAGCCACGTGGAATCACTATATATAATAGTTGGTAAAGATGACATTTTATTTTTTGGAGGTATCTTGGAATAAAATTTTTAAACTTTCAAAACAAAAATTCAATGAAAATATGTTTTTGATAATAGTTTTTCTTTTTAATTAAGCTGTTTTCTCATAGTTTATTACACGGTTACAAAAGGAAATTTCAAGATTCAATATTTAGATAATTATTTTTTCTTTAATATAATTATTATTCTATGGTATACAAACCATTTATTTCAATCATAAACCACATCTTAGAAAGCTTCCCATACTAAAAAATAACAAAAGAAAAGAAAAAGAAAAATTAACTTGTTTAATAACTATTTTATTTTATTAAAGAAATTAAGACGCAGAAATACTAGTTCCATCTATATGTTTCTTTATTTTTTCTTTTCTGGTTTTTTGAAAAAAATTCCGAACTCTAAAGTTAATTTTTTAAAACTAAAAAAAGTAATTCTTAAAAACTTATTTTTGTTATTGAAATTTCACCAAGAATTCAAATAATCAAGCATATATTTTTGAAAACATATATTAAAAAACGAAAACGAAAGGATTACCAATCAGAACCTACCTGTTGAAAATACTTTGAATATTAGTGGTATTATGTGATAATTTTGAACTTTTTCCGTGGAATATTTACCACTTTCTATTTTCATTATTTAAAATTTCAATTCAAGTAATTAACTGCTATATTGTAAAAATGACGATATATGATTAACAAATACCATATGAATACAATATGTAGGGGTAAAAATTCAAACATTAGTATAAAATAAATGCTTTACCAATTATAGTCCAAGTTGGCTTAAGATAAATTTTTTATAACATAAACGTTTGGAAGCTGAATACCAGCACCATTAAGGTTTTCAAAATTAAAAAACTAAAAAACTAAAAATTAAAACTAATTTAGAAATCAAAATCAAAATTTGAAAATAAAAAATCAAAGGATAAAATAGAAAATAAAAAATTCATACACCAAAATAAAACCATATTTAATCCACATTTTTCACATATGTAGAGAGTGTGTGTGGATATCTTGCCACAAGTTTCTTGAGCCTTGTCTAGATGGGGGACGACTAATTTTCTGACCTCTGACTTGGATCAAAATTTTGTGTCTAAATATATTAAATGGTCATTAATATTTTACGTAATTATCAATTTAGTTATTACTCTTTAAAAATTTTCAATCTTACTCTTAATATTAAAATAAATTTCAATGAAGACATTGGATAATATATTCTTTTAATATAAAGTTAATGAATTTTGTTTATAAATGAATCTAATCCAAATTAACGTGTGAGTTGAAGTTCACACATGAAGAGTATTCGGATAATATGTTTACGCGTTCAAATATATCAACCAAACAAGAGTCTAATAATATATACATCAACTTTTTATAATCAAATGATGTGAGAATTTTTAATACAATAAAAGATAAATTAAGAATTTAAAAAGATAAAAAAAATCAAATTAAAATTATTCTAATGAAGGAGAGACCCTTTGGTATATTTAATTAAATTTTAAAGTATTATTATTATTATATATTTTCACTCATTTTTAATAAAATATTCAATTTCAACGAAGGGAGATTTTCCCATCCAGCTCCAATTCTTGAGGAATACAACGTAGACCGTACAATTTTATTTGGCAAAATAGAGACAATGATTTTACCCGTCTCAACGTGTCCATACGAGCATAGTTTTAACGGTTGAAATATTTAAATAATTTCTTGAAAGGTCACATAATTAAATTTCTATCTACTAATTATTGTACTAAAATGATAATATTTAAATATTTCTTGAACACTTACTACCCTCATTAAAAATTAACAGCTATTTATTTAAAAAATTATACAATTTTTAATATAGTTAATTCTTTTAATAGTAATAAATTGAAGATATTTATTAACTCACGAAAACTCAACTGTGTGCTTAAGAGTGACGAACCTCTTAGTTAGAAATATATCTCAATTAACATCGAGCTATGTTTTTTTTTACCATTTATAATCATTTTAAGTTTTATTAAAATTAATTTTTCAATTTGCCAAGATTTTGGCCATCTAAAATCATTCCCAGACCCACCACAATTGTTGTTATTATTATTATTATTATTATTATTATTATTATTATAAAAAGGAACCGCGTCTACCTAGGACTCGTTGCCCATCCCGAGTGCAGTGGGCACATTCTATAATTTCAAGGAATCAAGGGAAACTTTTAGCAAACGAAAGAAACCGAGGGGGGCAATTACGAATTTGGCAATAAAGAGGACAGGTATCAGCTGTTATAAAAGAGGTGCTCTAAAGGAGGTTTAAGCAACCGCACAAAAATAGAATACATTCCGTAGCAGCGTTGGAGCTTCTGCGTTCATGGCTTCTACTCCTGGAATCCTAACCGATTGGCCATGGACGCCTCTCGGAAGCTTCAAGGTACCTTTCATGTCCCTTCTTTCTCCTCCTGCTTCGTTCCTATATGTCGCCATTGTTTATTTTCCCCCATTTTTCGTATGCCGTCGTCGTTTATGGTGATTTTATCGTTCAATGCTTCTCCGTTTCATCGCACCTCTTGTCCGCCATCTGTTTGTGAAAATGTCATATAGACGATAGAGCATTCCGCTATAGTTAACTTCTGATGTTGTGCTCGTATTGATGATGTACATTGGCCCTAAACTGTTTCTAATTTCATTCTGTTGAGGTTTTGCTCTTCGTCGTTTAGATATGTATCGCAACGAGAAATTACGAGCACTATAAATGTGATGTGTGAGCCGTGTATGTGTATTTTCAGTCGGCAGAGCTATCGAAATGAAGTAATTAGTGTAATTTTTCGGTTGCAGTACGCGATTTTGGCTCCTGGATTCATCTACAGCATCTACCAGTACGTGACGAAGGATGAAGCAGAGAGAAACGTTACCTGCCTTGTTATTGTTCCACTTCTTTTATGGAGAATGATTCATAACCAGATATGGATATCTCTCTCTCGTTATCGAACTGCGAAAGGCAATGCTCGGATCTTGGACAAGGGCCTCGAATTCGATCAAGTGGATAGAGAAAGAAATTGGTCAGTATTATACATTCCAAATCTATTCATAAGCACCATTCAACTATTGAATTAATATTCAATATTCATATGCAATGTAGTTAGATAGTAGATTCTTCACAAAGCATCCAACAAAAGTTGAGAAAATCAAACTGGCGGTTTATTTGTTTTGATTTGTTTTTACTGGACAGGGACGACCAAATTTTGTTAAATGGAGTCCTATTTTACTTAGTCGGCAATTTGACGACGAAATCTTGGAACCTACCTCTATGGAGGACAGATGGAGTGATTATTACGTTTCTGCTACACGCAGGTCCAGTGGAGTTTCTGTATTACTGGTTTCACAGAGCTCTGCACCATCATTATCTCTATTCTCGCTACCATTCTCACCACCACTCCTCCATTGTTACAGAGCCTATTACTTGTAAGCCATTCCTTCTCTGCACTTATATTTTACTTTCCTATTATAGTACTCTGCTCCTCTGCCTTGTTCTTCTGAGTTTCCAGTATCACTGGATTAATTTAAGTTTCCCAATGTCTTGCCTCTGGGTTGGAAATGTGGCAGCTGTAATTCATCCATTTGCGGAGCATTTGGCATATTTCCTCCTCTTCGCCATTCCAATGCTGACGGTTTTGTTTAACGGAACCGCTTCTTTAGCAGTCTACACAATATACCTTACATACATTGACTTCATGAACAACATGGGGCATTGCAACTTCGAGATCATCCCCAATCGCCTCTTCACTCTCTTCCCTCCTCTCAAGTATCTCATGTATACTCCATCGTAAGTCTCTCTCTCTCTCCCCCCTCTACTTGATTGGAAAAAATATTTGGCTGTTCTAACTTGTCCTCTCTTCCACGTTCTTAAATGTCCACCTAAGAGAAATAAATGAAAAAGTAAAATATTTGGCTCCAATAAGTAACAACTTTATTCTTACTATCGTTAAATCATTGACAACTCAAATCGTAAACTTCTTTTAAAAAATATGGAGCTGTCAAATTTAATGGTGGGAGGACAAACTTACGAGGAACCGAATATTTTTATTGTTAATATTGTTTCAATTTTGTGCCTAACTAATCATTTAATTAAAAGTGTCTAATAAAATTTTATTTTATCTTATATTTTATAAATAATAAATAGAGACTGGTTAGATGCAGTAAGAAAAGTAAATAAAATAGAAATTTTGTTGCAAGAAATAGAAGTATATTGAATTATTTGGATCCTTTTCCATGGTATTCTTTAGAATTGTTTAAATTTTATTTCCATCTTTAGAAATCTTCTACCTATTTTATTTTAGATATTAAATATGTGTTTAAATATTTTGATCTTGTTTCTCAATTTTATATTAAAAACATAATTTAAGTAGATAAAATATTTATTACTATTGCAAAAATCATAGTTCAACCAAAAATTTTCACTAATATGGGTGACTAACTTTCTCTATCACATCCTTATATTTATTGGAAAAAACTTGGCTTTAAACTTAAGGGGGAACTTTTTTCCATATTTATTATATACTAATTTATTTATTTATCCATTCATCTTTATTTTATATTATTAGTATTAGAAATAATTTTTTTTTATACATTTGATCTCCAAGAAGAAGCTCATTTTGATTAAAGTTTCTATCTTACATTTGACAAAAATCTTGCGTGTTATCACGCGTGAATTTGTTTATGTGTTCCTTTTTTCCTTTTCCTGTGAAATAGTGAACTTGTGTCCTAACCTTCATATTTTTGGCTTACATCAGTATTAGAAAAGTTTTTAATAAATACAAAATCAAAATGTTACATCAAAGGTCAAAAGGAACATTTATGAAGAATTAAGAATTAAAATATAATATTAGAAAAACAAATAAACAAGCAACTCTACCAAAAAAAAAAAAAACAAATAATAATAATAAAAAACAAATTACGTTTCTTTGGAGAAACTGGCAGGCATTAAATATTGAGACAGGCTGACAGCAAACTCCGACATCAATGAGTTCCAAAAACATTTCCTTTTTGACTCTCTCGTCGCTTTTCATACGTATAATAGCTGCCTTGCAATTAATACAACCACGTGGATGAACTGCGGTGCCTTCTAATTTTAGAATTCCCAATTTTTGTTTAAATGACTTTTTATTAACTATTCATTCTTGTTTTAGTATTAAATTCTCAAAAATTTTGTTTCAGTCCTTTTAGATTTTAATGTTTTTATTTAGTATCTAAAATTTGCATAAATAATTACTTTGWTAGTTTTTTTAATAATTATTTTGACATAGATTTTTTAATACTAACGTGTAGAGTGTGTAGATTCAAATTCACAATTTTTTGGTTGGAGATATGTCTTAACAATTTGAACTAGGAACATGTAGAGTGTGTAGATTCAAATTCACAATTTTTTAGTTGAAGGTACGTGTCTTAACAAGTTTAAACCATGTTCAATTGTTTCGACTTAGATTTGAGTACTCTATTTTAAAACATAACTTTAACTTACTATAGGTAACTTAAAAACTCATTTATGTAAATATTATTTATTTATTCGGCTAATAAATAAAATAATGTTAGATTGTTGTTAAATAATTTATAAAAAAAATTATCAGCAAGGATAAAATAATTTTTTTAAGACAAATTTGGAGAATAAAATAAAAATATTTAATAATTTGAAGCTATGACACCAAAAATAAGATTTAAACCTTAAACTCTAGGGAATTTGTAATGGATGGTTAAAATATTTATCATGTTTATAAATATAGCAATAACTTTTAGATTTTTTAAATTTGCCTAAAATATTGAAATCTGATTCTCGAATTTTTAATTATTTTTATTTAAAAATTTCAGATTTTTAGTTATATAAATAATATATCAAGTCATGCGTATATCAAGCACATCATTGTTATATCATGTATATCATTGTGTGATTTTGGTGTTTATTAATATGGTATATCGTGAGCTAGGTTCATAGCTGCTACTTTTACAAAATTAAAGAGTAGATTTTAATTTTACAAATTCCTATTAATTTTTTTTTTTTTTTTTGGGTTACTTTTGGAAGCGCCCATAAACTTTACTTCATAGAAAGTTTCCTTTTAGTTAGATTAAAAAAAAACAATTTCAGACTTAACTGTGATCAAACTTTACCTTTTCAAAATAAAGTTAGATTTATATTTTATTTTTGCTATCACTAAACATTTAGACCTAAACTCTTTACTATAAAATTACATAAAAATTATTTTAATCTAAATATCTTGTTGTTTATTTATATTTTTCAAAAACAATAACCCAAAGTACTATTATACAAAGAGTAGGAACGAGGCTAAACTCTTTTCTTAGAAATAATTAGAGAATAAAAGTTGCTACTTACAATTACAGGTTCCATTCGCTGCATCACACGCAATTTCGGACCAACTACTCCCTATTTATGCCCTTTTATGATTACCTATACGGCACATTGGACAAATCTTCAGATACTCTGTACGAAAAATCCCTCAAGAGAGAGGAAGAGGGTGCTGACGTGGTTCATCTGACTCATCTCACCACTCCTGAGTCGATCTATCATCTACGGCTAGGATTTGCCGCGCTGGCCTCCAGGCCCCACACCTCCACATGGTATCTGTGGCTCCTGTCTCCCATCACCATGTGGTCGATGCTGATGACTTGGATTTATGGCCGTACATTTGTCGTCGAGAGGAACCAATTTGAAAAGCTGAAGCTCCAAACATGGGCCATCCCCAAGTATAATCTTCAGGTGACGTTAATTATCTTATGTTTTTAACCTCTCTCTTAAATTCATTTGGGTTGTTAGCCAAATTTAAAAAGCAAGAACAAAAATTTAAAATCTACTCTTGTTTAGTTTTCAAAATTGAAATGCGAGAAATAACATTTGTTATTTTTTTAAGTTGGGGATGAGATCGAACTCACAACGTCTTTGTTGAAGATATATATCAATTACCACTGAGTTCTTGCTTTGACAAGTAATAGTTATTATTAATGATGTCACGTTAAAAAGTTAAGGGACATGATGAGGATTTATAATATAAGTGGATTATTCTTCCTATTATCAATTAGTTTTGAGATGAACATCATCTACTTCTATCTAAAGCTTGAACCTTTTTTCGGACTTATTTATGATCTGTGCAGTACTTCCTTCAATGGCAAACCCAGTCAATAAACAGTTTGATTGAAGAAGCTATAGTGAAGGCAGAGCAAAAGGGTTGTAAAGTCTTGACTTTAGGTCTCTTGAATCAGGTCATTTCTTTACTAAAACCCTGAACTGATCATAAATATTCAGTAGAAATAATGCTAACAGAATATGGAAATTTCCAGGGAGAGGAGCTAAACCTATATGGAGGGCTTTATGTACAGAGGAATCCTAAGCTAAGAGTGAAGGTGGTGGATGGGAGTAGCCTGGCTGTGGCTGTAGTTCTCAACACCATCCCCAAATTGGCCACCCAAGTTCTCCTTAGAGGAAAACTTACAAAAGTGGCTTATGCCCTTTCTGATTCTCTCTGCCAAAAAGGCATTCAGGTGAATAGAGGATGTTTAACTCTGATACCATGTTAAATCATCAATCAATTCAAATGTTTAAGTTGATTTGTTAAAATAAATTTAATTTTTATTTTATTTTATAAATATCTTAATAGCGAATTCTTGTGTACAGGTTGCTGTGTTACATGAAGAAGAATACAGGAAGCTCAACAAATCATTCAACACCAAGTTTGAAAGCAATCCAGTGCTTTCAAAAGGCTATTCCCAAAATGTAACTCTCAAAATTCAAAATCTTTTCACCTGCTTTTCTGGCAACTCTTTTTAGCCATAATCTTAACAAAAAAGATTCTTGCAGATATGGTTAGTGGGAGATGGAGTTACAGAAGAAGAACAGCTTAAGGCACCAAAAGGAACCACTTTCATTCCCTTCTCTCAGTTCCCTCCAAAGACTGTACGCAAAGACTGCTTCTACCACTGCACCCCTGCCATGAAGGCTCCTCCTTCTATTGAGAATGTGCACTCCTGCGAGGTACGCACTCCCACAAATTTCCTCACAAATATTTTACTAAAAATATATTAAACAAATTTAAATCTTAACCGACCTATTCATTTAAATTTTTAGATATAAGTTTGCATCACTTAACCATGCGTAGCCTATCCATTTAAGATTAGATTTTGTTTTTAGGGGTAGTTTGATATAGTATTAGAGCGTAATATGATATATTCAAATCTATGGAATGTGATCATTTTCTCCTCTTTGATATTAGTAGTTATGTGTAGAGTTTCAACAATCAAATTAATAAGCAAGAGGGTCTCGAGTTTAAACTAATAGTAATTAGTATATTGAAGATACTAAATTTATGCTAGCATAACGGCATAATTTAAGACCTTGCCATTCAACTCAGAAACTTAAATCGATGGTTATAGTAATTTTGTTCTTTATTCGTATTCTAACACTTCCCTTCGAAAGGATAGGACGCTGAAGAGATTTAAACATAGGATCTTCTATTCCTCTATAATACCGGTTAAATTATCCTTTAACATAAAAGTTTAAACTAATAAATCACCGTAAATTTACTTATACTTAGTTTTAACTCAACTAGTCAAGATATGTATCACTAACATTTTCTAAGCGGAAGTTCAATAATTGCAGAATTGGTTACCGAGAAGAGTGATGAGCGCGTGGCGGATCGCGGGTGTCGTGCACGCGATGGAAGGGTGGACGGAGCACGAGTGTGGGTACTCAATGTCCAACGTGGACAAAGTCTGGCAGGCAAGCCTTGGACATGGTTTTCAACCTCTCTACACACCCACTCCCTGTGGCTCCCTGTAATCTAATCAATTAATAACCTAATTTAAGTATATAATTATATATTATGTCTCCATTTTAAAATTAATAGGGGTATCATCAGCCTATATGAGTATGTGCCATCTGGATATAGGCTCACTTTTGTTATTCCCCCCTAAATAGCTATTATGATTAACAATAGGTGTTTGTGGAACATTTTTTTTTTCTTTTTTTTTTTATTTGCTCGTATTTATTCTATGTTATTAATACTATTAATAAAATAGTGTCGGTAGATATCTATTGCATAAATTTTGATTGAGTTGGTGTGATGTGATAAATAAGTAGATTAATTATAACTTTTTATTAATAGTGATGACTATAATAATAGATTAAATGGAAGCCTGACATAGCTAGCTCGAATAAGTAACCATTCTTTTTAAGAGATTGAGGGGATATATTATAGTTAGGGGTTTAAATGTTAAATTTATAATTTCACCTATATACAAAAATTGTAGAAATTACTTCAAAATATTATAAATAGTATGACTAGAGCCAAGAAATAGAATTATATCTTTTTAGGGTGCGAGTGCATGAACATAATGTTTAGAAATTCGAATCGAAGAGATTTCCAACTATTGGCTCTGAGAAGATTGATAGTTGCAGTGCAGAAAGAAAGTTAGCCTTTTATCTACACACTTTCAAATTCTCCATAGAATGAAGTTGTAATAATATTGGTTTACATTCCAAAATCAATAAATTTGTTTAGATCTAAATTTGGAGAAAGAAAATGGGAGTCCTAAGTCTAAAGCTTAGTCAATAAATTTAAATGACAAGAAGTAAGTAAAATTGCAAATTTAAATATATTATTTATCATACCTAATTACTCTACAAAATTAGGGGATCGATGATAAAGTGGAGGAACTTTATTTCTTGTTTCCACCTCATTTTTCTACTTAACAAAATCAAAGTCGGAAATTTTTGTCATCTTTGATGTGCTTTTTCTAAATTGTTGGTTATGACATTGAAAGGAAGATGAGATAGAGAGTAGCTAAGATCATCAAATCTTATGGTAGTTGATAAGGAGTAGGACGAAGTTTACTTTTGGAAAATTTCTTGACACAAACATAATAAACTCATTTTCAAAAATAATTTAAGATTGGAGTTTGTTTTTGTTATATTATATTATTACATTAGGTTATTTGAATTATTAGTAGATTATGTTATTTGAATTACATTTCCTATTTGAATTATGATTTAGATTATATTAGCATAAAAAGATTACTAATTTTGTTTCTCAATGCAATTCAATTGAATCTCATTTGTTATTTTCTCCATTTCTCTCCTAAAAACAAAAAACAAAAAATGAAGAAAAGGACATAAATACCAATCAAAGCTTTAATGTTGCCTTTCATGAAAAGGAAAAAGCAAGAAGAAAAAGTAAAAAGACCTGAATTGGCAAAGGTTGACCTCCTACCTGTACTGCCGGTTAGCCAATAATAACTCCTACTGCGACGCCATCACCTACCTCATGGCCGCATACTGCAAACTCATCAGTATTTACCTGTTAACGGCAAAAATTTTACTTTCTTTCTAATTTAGCTCTATTTGCAGTTCCAACCATAATTTCTATTATCAGTTTTAACTTAAATGTGTATCCATCTCTGTTATTCGTAGCCGTGATATTAGTAATATTATTATTATTATTATTATTATTATATACAAATATTTATTTATTGTACTCATAAATAAATAAATATATTAATTATTTATTTATTAATTGAATTCAACAAATACGTTGATTTTATAGAAGTTAGTAAATAACTTCTTTGAATTTACTAACACAAGGATAGGTTTAAATATTTTTATAATTTTTTTTGTAATATTTTAATAGACCAACTCGATCTTGATGGTTTAAACATCTTTCCCTTATATTAAGAAAACTTAGATTTAAATCTCCACCATATATTGATGATGTAATATTTTAAAAGAAAAAAAAAGTATTTTATGTGATGATTTAGTTTTAGCATTTTTAGGTTTGTTGTATTAAAATGTGAAATAATTGATAATCATTTTCCAATATATATTCCAGTAGTAATAATATTAATATATGTACATTTTGCAATCCCCACCTATATATATGTTTATCCTTTTACATAATTTTTAAAGTTCCAAACCTATTGGATAATATATGCTTTATTTATAAATTTAATTTTGTTGTAGTAATAATATTAATATTATATGAATAAAATAGATAACGTTAAATTTAAAATATTTTTGAAGTCGTAATCAAATTTTAAGAGGAAAGAGTTAAGAAAAACTATGTTTCTTCTGTTTTTTTTTTCTATAAAAATTTTGCTAAGATTTCAAAAATGATTTTTTAAAAGCAAACTTCGAAACTTTTACCTTTAAAATATGTGGTCGAAAATTTCTAAAAATTTTATAGGTTTTGGAAATGTAGTCTTGAACCTTAAAAATTTTGTGCCAATTATTATTTCGGTTGTTATTGTCGCTATTCATTTATTCGTTATTCGTTATTCATACTTAGAACTCGTTATTATTATTGTTATTGTTGTTTTGTTATTATTATTATTGTTCGATTTCAAAAATATATATATTATTATTATTGTTAGTGTTTTAATCGTTGTTGTTAGTGATCAAACAACTATTATTATTAATAATGATTTGATCAAGTCCTAAACTATTCCTCAATTGCGGTAAGAAGGTCAACTTTAATTAGTAGGGCATTTTTTCTAACTTTTCAGGTACGTAAAATTATAATCTCTCTAAGTATAGATCGAACTTTGTACTGACTTTAGCGTCAGAGTTGTTTATTCTCTTCGTGCAGGTTCTTTCATTTGTCAATCACCAAGGTTCGAGGTTTGCATACTTGGTTAAAATCTTGATCAAAGAATTATTATAGGAAAGTCAAAAGTGTATAGGCAAACTTACACAAATAATGTTAAGATATCTATAAATCAGTAAATTTATACTAATTCAATTTAAGATTTCGAGTTTATTGATAGTTTAATCATGTTGAAGAAATAACACTATATAATATTTAGTAGTTAAAACTTGTAGAGAATTTTAATATGGTTGGTAATTAAGTGCCTTTGTAAAAAAAAAAAGAGTGCCCACCATTTTAATATAGGAAAAAAAAGCCTATATTAGCCGAAAAATTAGGAAGTAGCTAGAAAAGAAAAAGGGAAAAAAATGAACATTATAGCCATTTCTTCGTATAATCTATAACAAAATTATTTACCCTACCTCAAATATTGAGTTATGTTAGAGTTGACACGTTTTATAAAATTTTAATCAAATTTGTTTTATTTTGTATTTTATTAGAAATAAATATCTTATTTATTAAATATTTTACATAATTGTCTTTTTTTTTTGTTGGAAAGAGAGAGATTTGATTAGATAAGGTTTAAAAATAGTTAGTTTCGAAAATTTGATAAAACAATAAATTTAAATATATGATAGTATATTGGTCTATTTCTATAAAGTTGATCGCTTAGAACCTAGAAGATGATTTTTTTTTATTTCATACTTTATTGGTTTGGCTAAAAATAGTTCTTTTCCCTCTAATTTTCTTTCTTTCTNATTCTAACCATTTCGGACTAGATTAATATGAATTGAAAACGGTGGGTTTTTGTTTTAAAAAATTGTTTCTAGATATGGTTCGCAATTTGTGGCTCCATAAGCAATATGACACGGTGAGAAAAAAAAAACTTAGTAAATAAAAATTTAAACAAAACAAAAACTCTTTATTGCTTTAATGAATTTGAAATATTTTTAAAACTTGAAAGTAAAAAAAGAAAAAGGTTATATATATCGTGTTTATATAATAAGAGATCGAATAATCAACTAAATTTAAAATAATGTATGTCTTTTTTTTTACTTTTTTTTTTCATAAGAACAATACATATTAAATTAGTAAATAATATAAAAATAATTTGATTATTAGGAGAAGATTGGAATCTTCAAATTCAAAAGGATAATATTTTTTTTGTCTAATTTAATAAAGGTTTTAAATATCGATTTAGATGACAATTTCGAAGTCTCAATTTCATGAAAATGTCAATGGAAATATCCATAAAATGTCGATGTCAATCTTGAAAGATTATAAAAATAAAAAATTCATAAAAAATATTTAAATTAACAAATAAACATTTCATGTTTTTTAAATAAGTTAAAAATAATTAATATTAATATTATGTATATATTAGTGAAATTTCGTTGATGTTTTTCATATTTTGTCGAATTTTTTTTATAATATTATGAAAATGTCGATGTTGTATCTATGGATACATGAAAATGTCGACATGTCGATAGATATTTAATACATGAAAATGTTGACATGTCGATAGATATTTAATGACTTTTTAGATGATATTAAGTCATCCGATCTATACTTGAATTGATAGACAATATATGTCTTATTTACTTAATTATGCTTCAATTAGTATTATTAAAGATACATTTAAAATGGTTGAACTAAAATTTGAATAAAACAACCCAAAAATGATTCTCTATCTTCCCTTTACTTGATATAGTAAAATGAAAATAATTTATTATGTAATTAAAATCAACACGAGCATCAGTTATTATTAGACAATTATATTACAATTAATAAATATAAATAATTTGATTATTAGGGGACACATTTTTAGTTCAAAAAATAGGATGTGAGAGATTCGACTTTCAACCCAAAAAAGATATGTTTTTCTTTTTCACTTGCAATAGTAAGGATCAAATCAAAGACCATTAGAATGACAATAAGAGCTATGTTCAAATTAACAGATTTAAATTTTTCAAAAGAAATATATATTTATCAGTTTAGTTATATTAAAATTGGTACGAGTAAGAGACCCATCTCAAATGGTAAAATTATAATTTGAATAAACTAATACATAAATGATTCTCCATCTTTCCTATTCAGCAGATGAAAATTATTTATTATGTAATTAAAACCATGATGATAGTATCATTTATTAGAGAATTGAATTACAATTAAGAAACATAAAAGTATGGTCAAAAATAAAAATCATAATATATTATAGAGATTATGAATAATCTTTAAAAAAATCATAAATAATAATGACGTTGTTAACTTTCCATTATGTTTATGGATAAAAGTATCTTTCAAATTGCGTCAAAAAAAAAAAWATATATATATCTATATATCTTTCAAATAGAATAAGCTTACCAATAAGAATTTTTTCCAGCATTATTTTCCTTTGTTACAATAATCACGAAGAGATATTTTTTTAATACAATATGTAGGGTGAATGATCGAACTCACAACTTCTTAGTTTGAGATATATGTTAATTATCGTCGAGCTATGCTGACTTTGACATGAAGAGACGTATTTTTTATAATTATTTTGTGCAATTTAGCTTCAACAACCACCGGAAGGAAAAAATGGTGAAATGAATGTTAATTCCAAAACCATATTGATCTCATATCATAGTTCAAATATTGGTAAATTAAGTTCAAATTTTACAAAGGTTGGATTTTAAATTTAATCTAGAAAATAAATTAATGAGAGAAAAATTAACGAAATTGGTCGTAAATACTTAGATACTTGTTTGTTAGTTAGTAAACTGATCATCATTAAATATTTGACGAAAAAAAGGAAAATAAGATGGTTTTCTATTTTTCAGAACTATCAAATAATTTTTATTGGTTGACACACTATAAAATGAGCGAAGACCATCTTAAGTATCTATTTAAGCGAAATTGACCAATATTATAAAATTACAGTGTGAATAATTGGAGTATAGTGGTCCGCATTTAAATTTATTTACCACTAATTTAGCCTCTTATTATTATTTTTTGAAAAATACTAAGGTCTTTAACAGGTGACAACCACCTCTTTGCAAATGACGTGGAAATATTGACACTTAATTATTTATGTCAATGCTTAGCATAAGATTCGTCTCGGTTAGTGGCTAAGTATTTTTTAAATATATATGTATTTTTTTCTTCTATATATAGAGGTTAAATTACAGATTTGACCTTTATTGTTGATAGTTGGGAATCAGCCATTATAAAAGGGGAGGTGCTTCCGGTAGAGACTGGGCGAAGCGCAAGAAGTGGAAGCCATAATCCAGTGCACTGAGCTTTCGCTTCGACTTCTGCATTCATGGCTTCTACGCCGGGGATTCTCACCGATTGGCCATGGACGCCTCTCGGAAGCTTCAAGGTTTTTCTTTCGCAATCCTTCGCCCTCTCCATTTTACTCTCGCCTCGATCGTACGTCCATGCTCTCAACAAACCGCCATTGTTGATGCATGTGAACCTATATCGTTGTCGTTCTTAGTTCTACGCTGCAGAGCAGTTTCTCTTCTGGACCGATTCTCATGCCTACAATCTGTTTGTGAAAATGAGCATAAGAAATTTCACTAAAATTAAACTTCTGATTGATGATCCACAGCCCTAGATCATCGTTTACTTGATCTGTAGAGTTTCCGTAAATACTTGTGTGCTAGGGATTCGCAGTCGCGCATATTCCAGTGTCTTAATTAGATGTTTGTATTTGTGTTAAATGTTCGGTTGACTGAGATTTTTGTTGAAATCTGAGACTGTATCGTTGCGGATTTTTGGTGCAGTATTTGGTTTTGGCTCCTGGAGTGATTCACAGCATCTACCATTACATAACGAAGGATGAAACAGAGAGAGACATTTCATATCTTCTGATTTTTCCTTTTCTTTTGTGGAGGATGATCCATAGCCAGATATGGATCTCCCTTTCTCGTTATCGAACTGCAAAAGGCACCGCCAGAATCGTCGACAAGAGCCTCGAATTCGAACAAGTTGACAGAGAACGAAATTGGTCACTGTTCCAACTCATTGCTTGCTGCATCAATCGCACTATATTCGAACAATTTCATAAATGAAAATTAAACTAATCTATACAAGTGTGGATTAATTTTTCCTTCGTTTATGTTCTGTGGACAGGGACGACCAAATATTGTTGAGTGGGATCTTATTGTACACAGTAAGCAATGCATTTGCTAAAGCTTCAAACCTTCCTCTGTGGAGGACAGATGGAGTGGTTATTACGTTTTTGCTACACGCAGGTCCGGTGGAGTTTCTATATTACTGGTTTCACAGAGCTCTGCACCATCATTATCTCTATTCTCGCTACCATTCTCACCACCACTCCTCCATTGTTACGGAGCCTATTACCTGTAAGTCATTCCTTCTCACTTTCAAACATTCCCCATATTTAATGGAACTAAAATACTTGCCGATCAATGCTTATTTTGTGGGGATGGCCAGTAAATATGGGAAAATTGGATTGGATGGGTAAGTATTTTAAAAATAGGTATTGATTTCTAATCACCCTTTAGAAAACTTGAGTTTTCTAAACATTCTTGAATACCAAATTACTTTTCTACCCGTCTCCTCTTCTTTACTCCCTCTCTCTCATTTATCTCCCTCTCTCCTCCTTCCCCTCCTCTCTCTTACTCCTTCTCTCTCCTCAAT